AAGGTTTAATTTAACTAGAAGATTGATAAGCTATGAAAAAAAATACTCTTTGAAAATTAGCTCTTACCTGAAATCCCTTTAATAGTAAGACCATTTAATCACACCAAAAAAATCAACAAGGGTTTCTTATTGTTGGGTTGGGTGGTTGTTGGGCTATTATTGTTAGTAGTTTCCCACTGTTGGTTTTGCCTCCTTAACTGGGTAAAAGGTTCAACTTATGACTTCCAGATGCAAACCACAGTTATCAGCCTCAAAATCAACTGAACATTTGTTTTGCTTTTTTGTGAAGTTCCCCAGGGGTAAGGTTAAAAGTAGAAACGATAAGGGAGTGAGAAATCAAGGGAGAGGATTTCAAATCACATGTTACAAACAGAGAACAGAATCACATAACGATACGAAGACAGTGGACTCCAAGACAGGATGGCAAGATCAGACAAGAGACACACATGCTTGACTGCTGTGCAAGGAAAAGCAAACACAGGAAAAAAACCAGACAGAGATGCTGCAAGAGCAGCTCTTGGGGCTACTATGACCCGATGCAAATAATAATAAAAATGAGAACCCATGGAATTATAACTACAAAAGAAAGTTACCCCCACAACTCATAGACTGGACTTGCTGGGTTAGCCTGGATGTGTCACTGGATGAAACACAAGATGGCATCATTAAAGCCCATGCGTTGGTGATGGAGGCCATGGTTAGTTGATCAGCTACGAAATTGTCACTGCATGCCACACAATGATCCTGGGCTTGTCCAGAAATAAAAGATACAACAAATACTCTATATCTGCAATAAAATTCTTTTTATGCCATCTGAAATTTGTGGAGAGGGATGTGTTTGTTTGTTTGTTGTTCCTGCATGTTTTTCTTTATTTCTTTTTTTGTATTTCCTGGCTTATTTGTCCTCTTAATTGTCATAAAGGGGAGAGTAAAGGCAAGTGGCCTGTGCAGATATGGGGAAAAATAAAAAAGGAAAAAGGGAGGAAATTAAAGGGAAAAATATACATTGGAGGAAGAAGAGGAAAACACTATTTCATTCTTTTGTACACAACTTTCTTAGATTTTGTTGGAGTTTATTTTGTTTTAAGCATAAATACTGGAGGGATATGCTGAAGGGGAAACATTTGAAATTAGGATGGCAAGAAAAGATTTTGTTGCCTTGTTTGATTTGTATATCTATAAATCTCTCAGTATTTAAAAAACAATGATTATAATTACTCTTAAAGGATAGCAATGAGTTAAAAATAGCCATAATGACCAAAATACAAAATATGAATCAAAACAAAATAAAATAAGTTGAACCACCAAAAATTCATGCGGCACAAGATGAGGTGAAATAACATAAAGTGTTTTTCAAATATATACAAGGCATATATCTATTTATACATATATGCAGGGATGTGCATATGTGGATAGATATATCTGTATAATTTTTCTCTCCACCCCTCTCAGGGATAACTGAAGTATGGAATCATCATTGTAATTATGATAAAGAAGAAAGCAAAACCTAAAGAAAAATTAACATGCGTTGTTTACCAAGTTAAAACAGTATCATGCATGTTCATGTTGGCTGATGTAAGAATGATGGTGTGAATTTCTGTGTAAAACACATGGCTGATGGCAGGGGTTATTGTTAATCTCTGTTTTTACATTAGTTGAATCTCATCTATACTGTGTCTACATATATATAGAGTGAGAGGCACTATAAATTTAGTATACACACATATAAATATATGTGTATATATATAGGTACACACAGTACATACATGGGCTTAGGGGAGAAAAAATATAGAACATAAAGAATACAAGAAAACCCATAAATGCCTCTCTTTTAAAACCCAATCCCTCTTTATTTATTCATTTTTTAGGGAGGATTTGCTTAATGATTTCATTAAGCTAATTCCTTATCAACTACTTGCACTGGCATTTGAAATCAGGAAGTTCTCTCAAGTTTAGTTTGAAATTCAACAAGCCCATCCTTAAGCTATTACCTAAGAAGCCTTGACCCTAGACCAGTGATGGCAAACCTTTTGAGCTCGGCATGTCAGCATTTTGAAAAACCCTAACTTAACTCTGGTGCCGTGTCACATACAGAAATTTTTTGATATTTGCAACCATAGTAAAACAAAGACTTATATTTTTGATATTTATTTTATATATTTAAATGCCATTTAACAAAGAAAAATCAAACAAAAAAATGAGTTCGCGTGTCACCTCTGACACACATGTCATAGGTTCGCCATCACTGCCATAGACCATACTGTTATATGGGATTCAAAGAAAACTTTATGACTGAACTGTTCTAATTCTTCCACTGTAATCAATCAGAAATTCTGTGCCCCCAACCTAAGATACAGAAGAATGGTGTTTGGGGTTACTTAATTCTGTCCCTGGCTGGCGTCATCTCTAATTGTTCTTGCCTGTCTATGAATGGTGTATGCTATTTGCTGAATTAAAGACCTCTTTTTAGAGTTTTGATAATGTTCTAGGAATTTCCAGTCATTGTCCACACTGTTTCTTCCCTTCCTATTCATTCTTTTCTTTTATTGCCCTTACTTTTCTGTCCTCCCTAATAGACAATAAATTCATAGTAATAATGAAAAATGTTTTATAAATAAGTGATTTATTAAACTTTCAAATGAAAGCATATATAATTTTTTCATTTATTGTTTTTATTAGATTTGTTATTTTTGTTATGGAATCTATGATAATGGTTAATCCATGAGCCTGAGCAATACTGTATAATAAAAGGCTAATATGCAAATTGTCCTCTTGACCAGGAGTTCGACCAGGAGTTTGAACAGGGGGTGGGGCCAGCCGGCCAACTGCTCACAGCCCCTAAGCCTGGCCGGCCCTCCAGCCCCCCTACTGGCCCCCCACCCTGATCAGGGGTGGGGCCAGCCCGCCAACTGCCCATGGCCTCTCCTCCTAGCTAGCACTGCCCTGGATTGGCCCCCTCACCCCTATCAGGGGCAGGGCCGTCGGCCAACCTCCCACTTCCCCTTCTCCCGGCTGCCTGATCGGCACTGATCGGGCGGGCTGGCAGGACCCCACTTGTGCACGAATTCGTGCACCAGGCCTCTAGTGAATTATATAATTGCCTAACAACTACTTAGGACACTTTCTTATACTTATATTTCTATTATTACTCCAATTTTCAAAAATATTTATCATTAGGGATTTAAAGGGCACATGTTTGTTCCAATAGCTTAAAAATTAGTTTGGGTTGGGGTAGAGTTGGGTTATTAAAATGTGATACAATTTATCACTGAGTAGCTCTACCATTAAAACTTGGAACATCATGTGCCAATGAACATACTCTATTAATTTATAGATCAGCAAAGGGAATTAAAGAATTAGTAGGATCTAGCCTAGACCTTATATGTGAGCAACTGTTTGCTTTTGGATGTATTATAAATATATTATAAATCAAATATAAGAATGACTAATGTCTACAGCCAATACTGATTAATTACGTTAACAAATGTTACATCTACTTACATTCTGCTTTCCAAAGCTAAATCATTTCTCAGATTACTTTATTGGAAGTGTTTTTAAGTGGCCCTGAGCTCTTCAAGGTGAAGTTCTGGACACTGTGATACTCAAACATCCATATAGCATTTAATTTAGCATTTACTATACACCAAACAGCCACTCCACTAATAGCCACTTGACTAATAACATTTAAACATGATTCTCATTACCAATCATGAGTTCCACCTGGAAAAATTTTTCTAAAATTAAAAAAATAAAATAAACCTTTCTTTGTAATAAAAACATACAAGTTGCTAACTCTTCAAGCTTGCTGGAGACACTTATGTGTTTATAAAAAATACACAAGATTACAAACATCATATTTAAAAAGCAATTTACTTTTTTTAAACCAAAGATTCTGGAGAACAAGGCTCTATTTTTTTTTTATCCTGTGTTAGGAAAGTATTACTGTCTTAACATTGCAGTGTCTTAACACTTCCCACAGTGTTCCAGCAAATAAAACCAGGAATGATTTGGCAAGCTTTTAAGCAATTCAGTGCCAAATTTTCATATTATAAATACTTCACTGGAGTATCTCAATCTGATAGAGATTAAGAATCCAGTTTCACCTGGAGAATACAAATTGGGGGATGCTGTTGGTGTTTCGCTAAATTTAAATTTTATCCACATTGGGTTGAGTATTATAGTGAAACTAACAATAACACCAAATGCAAATGTAAGGACTTTGGAGTTGAGGAGTAAAAATACATCTGAGAAACACTCTGGAAATAGTAATTATTTGGTGATCTCAGATTACTGCCATTAGTTAAACGTTCCCATCAATCCAATCATTATAAAAGTTGTTTAGCACAATACTCTTGATGATGGATGTGTTTCATTTTTACTTCCTTTTACTGTCTGCCCTCTGGTGGAAGTGCTGTCCCTTGAAAAACCTGGTTAGCTGACAGCCAGGAAAAAAATATCCCTGGTTAATTGCTGGATGAATCAATATAGTTGTTAATTATTACCATGCCAATTTCAGGTGTTAAAGGGATTTCTTTTTATTTTTTTCCTCTGCTCTGTGACTCCTGCCCCCAAGGACTTTTAGAGTTTGAGGCCATAAATATATAAAATTTAGGAAGTTGATAATTTCTAATTATAAAAAAGCTAATCTAGGAATACATTTCAATTTCCAAAGATGGAAACACTGGGGATAGGAACAGAGGGGAGGGAGAGAGAAGAAAAAGAAAGTCAATGTCATCAATTTCTCTTTATTTCAGAATTGTTTTAGATCACAAAAGTGAACTCACTGAATATCTTAATTGTTATTTCGCTTCCATAGTCTCATGAAAAAATTCTATTTTCTAGTGGTTATCTGAATTCTCTCAAGCACTCTATATTTTTGTTATTGTTGAATCTGGATGTGTAAGAAGGACAATAAAATATGAGCTTACTGCACAATTTAATATCAATAGAGTATAGTTGGAAAGGAAACATGTATATGCAAAGTCAAAAATCTAAAATATTTTTAAAATGTGTACTTTAATAAGTATAAAGTATATAAAAATTAGGTTAGCTTGTGGAAAAGCTGACCAAGATACATAAATTAAGAAATACAATTATCTATCTAAGTTTTCTATATTTCTTTTTTTTACAGAAAATTTATTTAAGTTGTTTAATGTATAATTTCTCATTAGTCATTTTGGAAGTCCTTTATTGTAATGACAATTCTTTTGCTTGGTAACAAACAGCAGCCACAGTGTCAGTGATTATTCAGGACCTCCACGTTGTATATATTCAACTTCTTCTTGAGACACAAGTTTCCTTTTATATTTCTGAGGTAATATTTTTATTATTTCTGCAGTGTCTGGTGGACCCTGATGTATCAGCCAATCTGATGATTTACTTCCCTTAGAATGCTGAGAAATTAAAGAAGAGTGAGATGGTAGTCCTGCTGATCTCAAAACTTCTGATACATTAGGTTTAGGATTGTCTCTTCTGTTAGGGAACCTTATTAATGGAGTATGTGGCTTGACTACCTGCACTACCCTGCTAGCAGATGCCATCTTGCTGCCCATCATGACCCCAAGAAAGGGCAGCTTTCACAAATCTAAAATATTAAGTAGACATTGACTTCTTTTGTGTGAAACATAATCAACTTTTATAAATTAGGAAAGTTAAAATCCTGACCCTCAACTTTAGGTAGTTAAATAGTGATTCTAATATTCTTCTGAATATTTTAATTTGCTGCCGATGGTTTTATACTTTAAAGGCTCAATTCTGGGTTTTTAAAGCAGATATTAAGAATATGTGATCTTACCTTTTACTCATTATAAATTATCTAGTTCCCTGGAGTAGAAGGGATAGGGAAAGTAGAGAATTCTTTTTGTTGGACATATGTGGGTTTGTTAGGGTGATGTTTACTTATATAAAATTATATATTTTAAATAATTCAGTAGGTTTTAATTAGCTGATTAAGGGGAGATGAAGTCAGATGGATGACACATCTCCTATTTGAATTTAAGATTATGAGGTACTTTGTGAGTCATACAGATTCAATCAATAAATACTAATTGAGTTTCACTCTGTGTCTTGTTGTCATGGTTTAGGACCTAAACCTAAACTTTAGGTGGTTGTTGTTTTTTAAAAAACTCATTTACATATTTTTCAGAGAAAATTTGAGATCCATTGGATTTTCAAGGTTTCTAAACTATCATCAACCAAACTCCAAACACTTTGACATTGTCTCTAAACATCATATGACTGAGCTACACCAAATTTGAGTGCCAAAGAGGGCTTTTGACATGAAAAGCAATTGCTTGCTTCTGACTCAAAATCAGCAACTTTAAGACCAATTTTGACTTAAAGAAAATTAAGTAAGAAAACTAATTTCATTTAAAATGTGATGCCCACCTGAAAGTAAAAGTTGTTGAATTAGCATATACTAAACTGCCCGAATTTATGAAGAGCAAGAACTTTAGTGGATTTCAATCAGAAAAGAACTTATAGAAGCTAAATGCCTTATAACTGAGGTAGCTAGAAAAATCATACACTTGCTAATACAATGAGAGAAGACAAGGTAATGTTAAGTAAAATTGAACAAGGCCTAGGTAATTAGCCAAATTTAGTGTATTTCCATCAAATATCGAGCATGGCAAAGAGTAATATTTTAGAAACTGAGGTAGTGAATTAGGTTGTTTAAAGTCAGAATTGTAATCTCATTATTCATATGGAAGTTCAAGATTATGTCAAAATTATGTAACTGTCACCATTACCTGTTGCTGCATGGGCAGTAAATGAAATCCTTCTCTCTAGGTACTGCAAAAACTAGCCCCAGAAACAACTGTTTAATTGTTTCTAGATTTTAATCTCCATTTTTTGAAAATGTGAAGGATATGGAAATATTTCCCATATAATACCAAAAAGTGCTTGATAGATCTATGCTCTGTAACCTTCATCAGTGTTAATCTGGTCCCAGAGCAAAACTTGCACATCAATAGGAATATCTATTCCCTTCCCCTAAGGACTATGCCTCTGACAAATGTCCCTCTGTATCTGAATCACTTACCAGGAGTACTTTATGGAGTAAATAAAATTAGAAAGAAGAAATGCTCATCCTTCAAATGTGATGAGTTGAATGATCCCAGGCAAGGGAAATCAATAGCTGTGTCTTAGAGCGCATGTTAGCTGCTTCAGGGTTGGCATCCTGTCACCTGATTTATTTATATACCCTTCCCCAACTCCCTTGCAGAACAGAACAGATTGTTTAAAAACTGCTTTAGTCCCCCCCACACCCCATGTAATTATATTACTAAAGAAATTACTGGCATTAAATTCTGTCCTCTGCCTTTGAATCAGCAGAAACACCTGTGCAACCACTAACAGGCCAATGGACTTAGTTTGCTGCCACTCAAGTTTGGAGCTGTTCATGTTCAATATCAAATGGCAACATATAATTACACCTGGGAGCTGTATAAGTTGTGAATCTGAGATCTGGAAAAGCCCCCTGTGTTATCAGGGAGGTTGATATGGAGATGACTATGTGGGGTGGGGGGAGGTAGAAGGCGAAGATGGCAGCAATATTTCAAAATGATCAAGCCTCAGTTTTTATATGAAGACTTAAAATCTATGGATTTGAGAAACATGTTTGTGTATGTATATGTATATAAATATCACTGCTATAAAAGCAAGAAAACCAGAGAAAGAATAAACATGATTAGGTAACTATTGACCATGAATCAGTTAATATGGGGATCTTGCCATATTCATATGTGAATCCCTAATACCTAGTACATGACTAATGTACACAAAATGTATTTGTTGGAGAGGTAATTTAGGTGGTAAAGCTCCTTGTTCTCTTTTTCCCCAACAGATCATTTATGAGAATTATTAGAAGAGGAAGGACTCAAATCTAGAGATGCATTGTATCCTTCCTAAGTGCTAAGAAATATTTATTAAATGAATGACTAAATGAATTAATGAATAAGCACTTGGTGTATAAGTTCCGGTATAGATTAAGTGTATCTGTCATTTTTATTATATTTTAGTATAGTTGATATGCAATATTATATTAGTTATATTAGTTTCAGGTGTACGATATACTGATTTGACATTTTTATACCTCACAATGTGATCACCTTAGTAATTCTAGGAATCATCTATCATTCTTAAGATTTATCACAATATTAATGACTATAGTCCCCTTCACCTTTTTTCATCCATGTCCCATCCCCTCTGCCAACCATCTCCTTGGTCTGTGTTTCTATGAGTCTGTGTTTGTTTTGGTTTGTTTGTTTGGTTGGTTGGTTTGGTGTTAGATTCCACAGATAAGTGAAACCATATGGTATATTTCTTTCTCTGTCTGACTTACTTCCCTTACATTAATACCCTCTAGAGTTAAAACCTCACTTAATACATTGAGATAATTACACAATAATTTGAAAAAAATCTGACTAACCAGATCACAGTTACTTTTCTCCCACACAAAAGGGAACAGATCACACTCCAAAGTGAAAAGGCCCCCATAGTGTTGTGTCCCTAAGTCATGCTAAGGACAGGCACCCACAGAACTTCCTGGATCCAAAGCCACTTGCAAGTCACCAGCAGTCAGGCTTCCACAAAATGTGAAAACTTGTAAATCATTCTGGGTAACAGATATATTTTTACTTCTGCTATATTATTTCTTCATGAAGCTTAAATTTCTCTAGAATTAGCAAAATAAAATGTTTACTGGCTTGCCATTTTTTTAAAAAAAGGAAAGGGGAAAAATTAAAGCAACCCAAAGAATCAATTAGAAAATTCTATTTATTTCTCTTAGCTTTTGCAGAAATAAGATCCTAACCCAACTCCAGCTTTTAATTCTTTTAAACATACACAGAAATTCGATGATATCTGTTCTCTATTATATATATAAATGTTTAACTTAGAGCAAGTCTCAAAACAGATGACTTGGGAAAGTTGATAGGAAATAGCCAGGGACTACAGTTACCTACTGGACATTATATCATATAAAGCTCACTCTAAAGAAAGGCTATAAAACATCAAAATGTATTTGAGTGCAAATGGGAAACACACAGAAGCTCCGAATTGCCAAAGTCCTCTGGACTTCAGCACAGCGAATACATTTTGAAGCATCTCAGCCATTGACATGGCATTGCTTGGTACTAATTTTGTGTTTGCTCTATTGCTGCACAAATTCTCTAAACACCCAATGAACAAAATTAGTATACATATAATACCATGTGAACTGCTGTTGAAATCCCATGGAAAATGTTTCTGTTTTTTTGGTTTTGTCTTGTTTGCCACTTAGGCTCAGAACAATTCACGAGGTTTAAATGATCATTATAGCTCCACTTTGGGTTGATAATTTTTTGATGTCATTCCACTATAGGCCTTCATGCCTCTACCCCACCCTGTCAATTTCATAGCTGCCACTGGCTGCTATGCATTTGCTGTTCCCAGGGTCAATCTGGGTGTTGGATTGCTCAAAGTTAGGTTGAATACCATGGATTTTTCTTTATCAAGGAACTGACTTTAAATTTCCCTGGGACCTTGTTACTCCTTCCATGGGATTTGATGCTTTAGATTACACATTAATATTTATATATGTATGTTTATACATATATAGATATGGGAAATACACACATTAACACACTATAATATCTATACAACACATGTCTATTCACATATATGTATGTATTGTTTTTTGCAAATGAAAAAATAAAGCAAGCAAAACAAGACTGACCTAACCTACCTGTACTCGGTTCACATTCAACAAAGTCTTCATCATCGCTTGAACATTCAGCAGATGATACAAGGTCATCTGATGTTGGCTGTTCATGTAGAAAAAATAAGGGGTAGGGGGAAGAGAGAGGAGAGAGAGATAAGGAAACCAATGAACAAAAGCATAGACAACTTATCACAGTGTCCTGCCTCCATCATTATTACTGTTTCACTTCTCTAAGAGGGCACGCTGTAGGATGCAGAATTTTTCTCCCCTGTAGCTTATAATGGCTTTGGACCTGGACAATTTGTGTGGGTCTTAATGTGAAGCTGAGTGACCCAAAGTGGTTCTAGGAGATTCATCCCAAACCCACACCATCACATGGTTCAGCCTGACTTTCTTCTGACTTTAATTTCAATTTTGAGAATCAGATGGGCAGGAAATGGGCTATTGCAAAGGGTGGGCAATACAAGAGTACAAGCCAGCCCAGATGCCCTACAGCTTTGAGAGGATTTTAAATGCATATCGTGTGTGGTGTTGAGTGTATGATTTGGTGGTTGTGAATTGATAGGCTGGCATAATTAATGAACGTTGTGGAATGCAGTCTGTTCAGGAACAGGATAAAGGCTTCCCTAGCTAGCAGCAATGTCTTTGTGTAATTGCTGCAATTAGCTGAATTAGTAATGTGGACCAGCAGAGAGATACCAAACGACAGTCTCTCGACATAGGTAAGGCTGTTTCTGGAGAGAAGAAAATCTCTTGTCGCAATAATAGTAATTCAACTTGAGACCATTTGTTTTTCTATTGGATCCCAGAGAAACTCCCTGATTGCAGGGAATCTGCTGGGAGAAATATAGGGGCTGTGGGTATGGCCAGTTAAGAAGGACCCTGGCTACATAATAGATGAGAAGACTGCTTTGTGTGCCTGGTACATGCAAAAGAAATACTGTTGAGCTAATTAACTAATCTATACATCTTATATGAAGAAACACATTTTTGTCCTACTATGTACATAAGGGCAATATACAAATAGAGTATATACTGGTTTGCTGGTCTTATTCCTAATGCACTTTAGTCTGAATCCATATTCAAGAGCAAAGGCAATTATAAGCTAGATGCTGCACAAGACTTGTATGCATACTTATTAATTAGAGTAATTATTAATTCAACATAATTTTTACAACAATTCTTTGAGACAGGCATAATTATTATACTTTTAAAGAGAACTGAAGTTCAAAGAGATTAAGTAAGTTGCTGAGGGACACACAGCTAGTAAGAAATATAGTGAGGATTTGAATAGATAAATCTTATTCTTGCTCCCCTCAATTGTGTCCCCTCAAATTCCTATGTGGACATTCTAGTTCCCACACTTCAGAATGTAACTGATATTTGGAGGTTAGGTCTTTAAAGGGGTAATAAAGTTAAAATGAGGTCATTGGGTAAGCCTAATCCAATATGACAAGTGCCCTTATCAAAAGATGAGACTAGGATACAGACACACCAAGAGGGATAACAATGTAAAGACAACAAGGAGAAGACAGCCATCTACAAGCCAAGGACAAAGTCTCTCCCCCCGCTCCCCCCCCCCAAAAAAAAGTAACTCAGCTGACACTGTGACTTTGGACTTCTAGCTTCTAGAACTATAACAAAATAAATTTCTGTTGTTTAAGCCACCCAGTCTGAGGTACTTTTTTTGTTATGGCAGTTCTAGCAACCAAATACACATGATAACCCATATGCTTCGTATTCCCAGCCAACACCCTTTTTGAAATAGACATACTAGGCATAAAATTATTGGGCACAGGAATGAACAGTAGAAAAACCACATTTGGTCATTGATTTCACTTAACTGACGGTGGCAGAGAGGTGCCTTAACCCATGTTATTGATCTTTATTCTACATCTGACAGGCAGATACTTCTACCCCTGCTCTTCCATAAAGTTAATAGAAGGATAATTTTCAAACATACTTCTTTTTTTCAATTAAATGCTATTGAAGTGTGCATTTCATTTCCAGCAACTGATGCTGTCAGTTGTGTCCTGGAGCCCCATATTTCCTTTAGAGAAATGGCCAGTTTACTCCCCTGGAGGTTCCCGCTGGCATGGGGCCTCATGCAGGTCCACAATGGGATAAATGCTAACTGTACACACGCAGAAGGCAATAGACACTATTTTTGGAAGGGCCACAATCACTATTAGATCTTTCTAAAGGATGCATTATCTCTGGGGGTGATACCTCCTCCAAGGCAGCAACGATTGTTTTGGGTGAAGGGAGCAGATCTTAGATGTAACAAGGGTTTATGACCTACCAACAGCCCATAGTACTTAAATAAATATACAGTATATCTGTGGCATTAAAATTTTATAAGATAAGGGAAATTAGGAAAAAAAATGTCTCAAAATAACTCCGTAGAGGGTGGTAATGAAAAAGTGGTTGAGAATACACTGCTATGGTATAATCAATTGGAAATTAATTGTTGGTGACTTAATTATAAGGACCTTACAAAATAGCCCATATACTGCCTAACTAGCTTTGGTCCCTAGAAATGAGTGAAACCTGATGAGTTAATGACAGTCTAGTGAGCTCATCTCAAGAACAGAAGGCCAGGCTATAAAAAGGTCATTGAGCAAGTGTATGAAAACAATGCATGATTCCAACCAAAACCAACCAAACAAACAAATAAAACAACCCCACTATAAACATTAACATAATATTAGTAGAATCTTCAACTTACTTCTAATAAATTGATCTTAATTTTTATTGGCCAAAGAAACGATGAAATTTTTTTTCAAGAAAAGTGCTAGACTCTGAGATTGAATGAATATTTACTATTTTCTTCTCCCTCTTCCACCTCCTAATACTACCCAAGTTTTCTCCCCTGTGGTTTGGATAACATTGTACATAGCTACACTCTCCTTCCCCATTACCATCTCAACTTCTGTCCCCAAAATTGGCCTCTACCGCCCATGTAGACCCCATGCATATGCTCTTCCATGTTCTTGCTCCCTTTCTCCCCAGTTCACTGTCTCTGGGCCCCACTTCCCAGAGATTTGTTTTCTGCTGGTCTTCTCTATGAATATGGATAAATGCAACATTTCTCCCAGGCAAGAGAGGCACATTTACCAGCAGTTCTGATAAATAGTGGCTACACTTGAAGGTTTAATGAGAGGGAGACTATTAGATGGTGGTAAGAGCAAGCCTGACTTTCTACTACACTTTCAGTTGGTAACCTAGGAAATCAAGTTATTTCCCTCTCCAACCTTCAATTTTTTTTAAATCAGTAAATTGGGATAAACAGAGAGTCTCATTATTGGTTGGGTATTAATTTAAATGTAATGTTTAAAAGTGAAGTTCTAGCCTGGTTGGTGTGTGAGTGGGTGAGCATTGATCCATGAACCAGGAGGTAAAGGTTAGAATCCTGGTTAGGGCCCATGCCAAGGTTGTGGGCTTGATCCCAAGTAGGGGGCATGCAGGAGGCAGCCGGTCAATGATTCTCATCATTGATGTTTTTATCTCTCTCTCCCTCTCCCTTCCTCTCTCTGAAATATATAAAAATCATACATTTTTTAAAGTGAAGCTTCATTCCTGGCATATGGTGCATGCTCAAGCAATACTAGCTAAAACTAACTCAATCAATCAATAGATCAATCAATAAATAAAAACAATGCATCTGCCATGAAGAGTGATAAAATGTATATACTCATGAAGATGGTAGGAGAGCTAGATAAATAAGTGAAATTTGATTTCTTTCCAATGGCTCTATATCAAGATATTAGGTGTAGGTCTTAGGTGAATTCAGCCCCTCTTATCTGTCCCTCAAACTTCATCATCAGTATTTACAGCCCCAGCCAATGAGACTCTCAAAGCAATTACACACATCTCACTCCCTCCTTGACCAACATCACTATAACCAATGTTGGTTTATCTGGAGAAGCTGGCTCCCAATACCAACATGCAGGCCCAGCACACTGCAGTTTCAGAAAAACTCATTCTGTCAGGAGCAGCAAACTTTGGTTTGCAAAGAACTCAGGATTAAGAATATTATATTTAAGGATTTTTTATTTATTTATTTTCCAATTTTGTTCCTGTCACATAAAAAACTCAACAAGTACAAACCAAGGTTTTGGGATATGCACTTAGGATCATATCCAAAAGTAATGACAAGTTGATTCAAAATTACCCTGGGAATACCCTGGCCTTCCTTTAGTGCCTTTTAGTATTCTTATCTGTGCCCTTCCTCAAACATAAGTAAATGCAGTCTCTGACCCTGAACCTTGGAAGAAAAGGCATAGTTCTTTGATTATTGATTCCCATGGCTGGTATAATATAGCAGATACACAAGGACTCGGGATACAATTATTATGAGTAGAACAGAACTGCAGACTTTTGTCTTTAAAGAAGATCCCACTTCTAGGAATATATCGTAATAACCCCCAAATACCAATCAGAAAGAGTGTATGCACCCCTATGTTCATAGCAGCATTATTTATAACTAGAGGCCCGGTGCACGAAATTCATGCCTGGTTGGGGTTCCTAGGCCTGGCCAGCAATCAGGGCCTATCAGGGCCATCTCACCCAGTCCTGATCGGAGCTGGGCTGGTTGGGGCTTGCCAGCTGCCAGCCAGGACCTGCCGGATAGGGTGGGAGGGACGGGGAGAGGGGCTGCGGGAGGTTTGCCATCCAGTGTGGGGAGGGGAACTGGGGGAGGTTGGCTGTGGGAGCACACTGAGCATCTGCCCCCTGGTGGTCAGTTCGTGTCATAGTGACTGGTCATTCTGGTTGTTCAGTCATAATGGTCGCTTAGGCTTTTATATATATAGATAGCTAAGATTTAGAAACAGCCCAAGTGCCCATCAGTAGATGAATGGATAAAAAACAAACAAAAAACACGGTGGGACATTTACGCTATGGAATACTATGCAGCTGTAAAAAGGAAGGATCTTTTACCCTTTGGGACAGCATGGATGGACCTGGAAAATATTATGCTAAGTGAAATAAGCCAAACTGAAAAAGACATATGATCTCACTTATTTGTGGAATCTAATGAACAAAATGAATTGACCAACAAAATACGACCTGAAGCAGAGAGGCCTGGAATAGACTGACATA